TGAATAAAAATACTTTTCAAAGTACTGAACGTGAGGAATGAAAAACTGATAGCTGTAAAACCATGTTCAGATATTTGGTGTGTAGATAACGTTGCGCACACTAGTGGCACAAAAAATGTGTAAAATCAAATGAACAAGAAAGAATTGAAACGCATTTTGTCTTTAGGCAGTGATCCAACCGTCAATTATGAAAACAGGGAAGAGAAAACATCAGAAAATTTGTTGTCCCCCCGCGCCAGATGCTTAGGGAAGAAGAGGACATTCATTTGTTGGAGCACGTCATCGTGATTGTACAAATAGTTCAACAAAATAATATCTCTCCATGAATCACACAACCTAACTAAAAGTTGAATTCTTTAAATATTATTCATTATGATTTTGTTTCAACATTTTTATTTTCTTCCTATTATTTCTTATGCAACTTATTTTTTTAAACTCTTATTATACAATGAAATATATATAATACGGTTCATTTGTTTTCATCCGTCCCATATATTTATATTTTACATTAATTCACAGTACAATTGATATAATAAATATATTTTTAACAAACTCATACATCAATTCTCAATACAACTGATATAATAAATTAATTTTTATAATGATTATATAATTAATATAAAAAATGTTTTACTTTCTATATAATAGTATCTATACCGATTGTGTACATAGAAAATATACTAGATGTTAAAAATTTTGTTCTCATTTTTTTCTTACATTATAAACATTTTATCCACAATTTATCGATATTTATACTCAAAATACCATAAAATGAATAAGAATGGACTCAGTGTAACACCTTAAAATGATAATTTTTTTTCAAATACAAATATATTAAATAATATTTTAAGATAATTTAAATAATTTTAAAATAAAAACTCATTTATATAAAAATAAAAAAATAAAAAAATATAATATATATATATATATATATTATTGTTAAACTATTATAAAAAAAATATATATATATATATATATATACTTATTTAAAATAATAATCATAGTTTAAATTAAAAAAATATTTATTGATTAATTAAAATAAAATTAGTTAATTAGTTATTGATGATTATAAAAACAAATTGACTGTTAAAAGAAAAAGAACGTGACCTGATTAAAAAAATAATAATAAAATAAAAAATAAATGTGACCTTATCTCTATTATGATTAATATATATATATATATATATATATATATATATATATATATATATATATATATAAAATGTGATCATAATTATAAATAGAAGGGGTAGGAAAAAAAACTAAAAGAGAAGAGGAAGAAAGGAAGAGAGGAGAGAAAGGGAAGAGGAAGAAAGAGAGAGAAAGAAAAAACAATTTTGGTCAAATTTTGCACATCATCTCTTTTTATTAAGGTAAATAAAAGGGATATTCATCATTTTATCTCTCTTATATTAAATTATGGTTATAGAGTGAGGTGTTTATAACTTCGTTCTATTCTATTATTTATTTATTTATCTTCAATCTTATTTTATATTTATTTATTTTAATTATTTTTAATTATGCATTACTCCGGTTTACTTATTTTATCTATAATTATGTACAAATCTTATTTTATATTCATTTATTTATTTTTAGTTACACATTTGTCATGTTCTACATTTATTTATTTTATCTTCAATTACGCATTGACTAATCCTGTTTTATATTTATTTATCTATCTCTAGTTATGCATTGGTTTTATTATATTTATCTATTTCTTTTATCTTCAGTAATGCATTGGTCATTATTCATTAATTTATATTTATATTATTTTTAAATAATAATATTTAATTATGTAGATTTGAGGATATTGGAGATGGAGGTTGGACCTTGGAAATTGAAATGAGTAGATATAACTGAGAGAATGATTAAAATTGGATTCATTTATCTTAACTAGTCACTACAAATTTAATTCAAATATTCATAATATAAAGTATATAGAGTATGATGTTGAAGTTGAAAAGTAGATTTTAAAGTTCATTTTAAGATTATATTTACATGATAATTGTTCTCATTCCTTATTATTATTTTTTGTACATGTTACAATCAAAATATCAACCTAAATAGACGAAGACGTCAAAATAGAAGACAAGTATCATTAATAAATCAATCACTTTTATAAAAAAAATATTTGTCAATTTTAATGATATTTCTAATATATATATATATATATATATATATATATATATTATAATATAAAAATTTATTTCATGTCTTTTTTTTTCAAGATTTAATAAAAAATAATTATTTTCAAAATATAATTAAATTAACAACGTTACGTCACGTAAAAAAAAGTTGAAAGTGTTGTTTGAGTTCCATCTCCAATATTGAGTTTCTTCATTGTGCTAACATAAATCATTAATGATGTCCATATTTGTTACAACATGCGAGAATCATCATTATTATTTTTCTAACATAAATCATTAATGATGTTGATGATTTGTTACAACATAAAAGAATCATTATTTGTCTGTATTGTTATGTTGGTGAATTGTTACATTCCAACTATATTTCTCTTTAAACTTATAATTTAGAGGGTATGAGATCCATTTTATCTAATTTCACGATGATTGTTAAAATATTTTAGTTAAAGTCTCTTAAATTCTGTCTATATCATTTAACTTGCGTAAAAGGTAAAAATAAAAAAATAAAAAATAAAATAAAAGTGTTTGAATTAAAAAATAAAAAATTATATTATTTATTATTAATAATTAAATTTATTATTTTAATATATATTTTAATTACTATAATTATAATAAAAAATATATTAAATAAAAATATCAAATATAATTAATTATTCTGTATAATTGAATATATAAATATTTATTTATACCTTTATATATAATTAATTATGTTTATGTTAGGAACGTTCTATTTTTTTATTTTTTATATATAAGTGATGATAAAATTTTGTATCAATTTTACAACTTTTAATATTAAAGTACTTAAATTTGTCTTATTTTCTTAGTACTCATACTTAATTATTAGAGTTTTTTGTTATGAGATGTAACATTTTTCAAATATAATATATTATATTATAGTATTTTGAAAATTTTAAATAATTTTATAATAAAAGATATATTTATATAAAAAATACATATATAAAAATATTTCTATTGTTAAAAAAAAAAAAAGATAAAGCTTGGTTTAAAATTCAAACTTGCATTTACGACAAGTGAAGAAAAAATATAATAAAAATAATAAAATTTGACTATAAATATGTGTAGGAGGAGTAAAAATAGTTTTAAGGAAGAATAGAGATAAAGAAAGAGAGGGAGAGAGAGAAAAAATAAAGAGAGAAAGAGAGAGGGCACGATAAAGATAAAGATAAATAAAATATATAAGCAGCTTTAAGAAGTTTTTGAGTATCATTTAGAATTATTAAAATAAGGAAATATGATATTTATCATTAATTATTCTTCACTATTTTTATTCATGGTTATGGAATGAGTATCCGAACTTCTTTCTATTTATTCCTTTATATTTTATTTATCTCTAATTATACACTAATTATATTTTATATTTATTTGTCTCTCCTTACGCACTAATCATATTTTATTTATTTTTAATTATCATTGGTCTTACTTATTTTATCTCTATTTATGCAGGAGTATTTGTTTATTAATTTATATTTATATTATTTAACTATTTTTAATTAATAATATCTATCACTACAAGAAAAAACGCTATTAGCGACCGAAATAATCGGTCGCTAATGGCCAAAAATCGGTCGCTATTCTGTTAGCGACCGAAATTAGCGATCGAAATGGTTGGTCGCAAAAGGGCAAGTCGCTAATTTGTTAGCGACCGATTTACATTTCGGTCAGCTAAATAGTGACCGATGAGGTGGTCACTAAAGTGGTCGCTAAATAATTTGGTCACTTATTCATTGAAGACCAAAATAGCGACCGAAAATAATATAATAAATCGGTCGCTAAATCTGTGGTAAAGTTTTAAAAAATAGCGACCGATATATTCGATCGCTAATATATTAATATAATTATTTAAATAATAATTAAAATCGATCGCTAAATCGGTCGCTAAATTGGAGACAAAGTTAAAAATAATAGCGACGGGTATAATCGATCGCTAATATATTAATTGAATTATTTAAATAATAATTTAAATCGGTCGCTAAATCGATCGCTAAATTTGAATTGTATATTATAATAAATTTGTAGCGACCAAAAATTTGATCGCTAATCTAACCAAATCTGAAAATTTTCGTTTAAAATTTTGTATATCCAATTTGACAAAATTTGTACCTGCTTAATTCATCCAAACATAACACAAATGAAAACTTAAGAACTCAAGTCAAATTATTCAAATCATAAAATTTGTACCTGCTTAATTCATCCAAACATAACACAAATGAAAATTTAAGAACTAAAGTCAAATTTTGTATATTCAATTTTACAAAATTTGTACCTGCTTAATTCATCCAAACATAACACAAATGAAACTTAAGAACTTAACAACTACTCAAGATTCAAAGTCTTAATATCATAAAATTGAAAATTAGTCCTCTGGTATATTGTCAGTGTCATGTTGACTTGTAGTAGGAATTTTATGAAGGAAGCCAAGATCTATTAATTATTCTATTATAATAATAATCCTAATTAATAATTGAAGGTCATTCTTTGAGGAAGCCAAGATCTGTCTGATTCTGGATCAATGAAGGTGTGACTCAGAAACTGCTCAGCTCCTTCATTCTTCAATTCTCTGGCCCATTTCACTCTTTGGGATGGACAGAAACCCGGTCCAGAACACCTGCACTCTTATCAAATTACTCCAAACTTGTTCAACTCAATAAACAACAATTTTATACACTTTAGACCCTCTTTCACTTTGATGTTTTTATGAAATTATCAACAATTTTGTTGTTAGATCCATTGATTTAATGAGTATAAGAAGGCCTTGGTGATGATAACAATACTACAGAATGGAGTTAGAAATGATTGCCTGTATTCATAGAAGCAAGAAGTTCTTTCATTCTCAACTTTGCCCCAATTATTCCACCCTGCAGGCTTTATACATTGATCCATGAAAGTGAATGCAAAAACCACTCTTGCAAAAGGTCTCCATGGTCTTCCCAGATATGCATATGAAGTTCCCCCATTACCTGTGACAACACATCTGCAATGACACCACAAACAAAACATCATGTAAGGAACCAAAATGTTCATAACATAATAAAAGTACTTTACTTGTGTAGTATCCTTTCTTGGACTCGGAAGTTTAACAGATTAACACACCAAAGAAACACTGTAAAGGGAGAGGAGCAAAATATTGACAAGGAAGCATAGAGTAGTATGAGATTCAAAGATTTTTATTCTAAGATTTCTTACAGGATTCCTGAATTCATTGAATTTTCAAGGGATCATTTCCCTAGCTTCAAGAGAATCTGGTTCTTGTTTTAACCTAGAATGTTTTTTTCTAATTAAATACTCCTAAATCCGTGTTAGCCATGCTTCTAAACATTTACAAACCAAACTGCAAAACTTAAAAGCAAGATCATCTTCAAAACCAGCATTCTCTCATTATCTTAATCAGTTTTCATAAACATGACTCAGTCATGATGATAAACTTCAACCTAGGTACTTACTTGATTTCACATCAGAAGAACTAAGAGAGAACATATTTTGCCTTGGAATTGGAAAACAAAGTAAGAGTCACTAACACTGTTGTATTGTAGGGGAAACAAGATGATTGGGAAATGTCTCTTTCCTTGTTAAACAAGTTACAATGACTAAAAAAAAATATTATGTGGGAAGATGATGTTGTAAGTATTAGGCATGATCACACACCTCAGGAATACATAACCAGTTTTTTCCTGTGGAGAGTTTCTGCTCTGTGCAGTTATAAACCCTGCGGACTTGCAATGGATGTGACAATGTTCCAAGAGTGCAGTACTATTACCAAAAATGAAGTCCACACTCCCTTCAATGTAACAATCTTTCAAGTATTGCTTTCCATAATGTAAGTACAGTGTGTCCTGCACTAATCACAAAATAAGTTTATTTATCACCTTGGTACCTCAGATTTTCCTCAAATGAAACAGAAGGATAATGGTGTACAAAACCATCTAGCCTAACAATCATGGCCTCTTGTTAATTGAAGATCTTATTATGTTTACGCAACACACATTATAAAGGATACATCATGCACACATAACTTTCTAAAATCAAACTCAGAATAAAAATATGAAGACAGTGAAGCACCTGCCACCCAAGGAACCTGCAATTATAGAAAGCACAACGATCTGCTGTTACTCTGAGTGTCACTGCCTGCCCTGCACCCTACTAGGTAAAAGAGGGAAACAAAAGAACAGTGTACACAAGGTCTCTGCTAAAATTCCTTCATATTTTAAACATAACAATGGTGTTCATATTTTAAACAAAACAAAACAAGTTCCCAAATTGGTCTGTCAAGCACCACCAAATCCGCAGTAAGAGGGATCGAAGAACCTATCTACTTCACAAATCCACCTACAACAAACGATAAAGAAATTCTGTCAAAATTATTTCTCCTATATTATTCACAATGCAAGAGAATAACAGTATATACATTCAAACAAGCCAAACCTTGGTTGAGGGTGTCAGAGGCTGCGGAGGAGGTTAAGAACAGAGGTGTGGCGCGGTGGCTCACAGGGTGGCGTCCGGTTGACGAGGAGCTTTGGTGGAGGTTGGATTAGGGTGAGGGCTGACTTGGGGGGAGCAGTGAGGGGGCTAGGGCTCGCCGGGAGTGAGGAGGAGATACTGGCCAAGGTTAAGAGGAATGGGTGAGTGAAGCGCGAGAGTTAGGGTTATTTGGGGATAAGTGGCGCGAGAGAGAAAGTGAAAAATGTGGTAGTATATGATAGCGGTTAAATCTTAACCGCTATTATAATATCACTTATAATAGCGGTTAAATATTAACCGCTATTATATAACACTTCTCATAGCGGTTAAATATTAACCGCTATTATATATTTTCAAATATGATCGATCATTTGAAAATGTAATCGATCATAATAAAAAAATGTGGATGTCGCTCGAGCGAGATCAGTGTCGCTCAAGCGAAATACAACCCGAGAATGCCAATTTTGTGCAGGTGGAGACGCTCGAGCGATGTTATTTTCGCTTGAGCGAATGTTGACCTGCCTACCGTCGATCAAAGTTAGCCGGATAATGTAACATGGGTGACCTCATGTTTGAATCGGATGTCGCTCGAGCGAGTATAGTGTCACTCAAGCGAAATACAACCCGAGACTTCACAATCTTAAAATCGGGTTGTATATGATAGTGGTTCCACTGGAACCGCTATTAAAATGGCACTTCTAATAGCGGTTAACCCTCAACCACTATCTAAAATATACTTTAGATAGCGGTTAACGTGGAACCGCTATTATATATGAAAACTTACATTAACTATTTTTTTGAATATTATGTTTTAAAATTTGCTATTAGAGAAAACCTTTCGGAATTCAAAATGTTAAATACTTTTAAATATTAAAATTAACTTTATCAAAAATTAGGAAAAAAAATTAATCCAAAAGAGTTCAAAAATGTATTAAAATATTGTCAATTTTGAATTTAATTATATTGTTCATTCTCAAAGTAGAAAAATATATTGTAATTATTTTAATTTAATAAAATATAATTTAAAATTTTAATACTAAAATTAAAAGAATAAATAATAAATTTAATTCTTTAAATTCAGTAGTTAAAAACTAAAATTATAGTTTCTCTGTTTTAAATAATTAAAATAAATATTTAAAAATAAAAATAAAAAACTAGTATTATCTTAAATTTATTAAAAGTGTAATTAAATCTCTATTTTCTTAATTTTATTTGTTTCAAACTTCTCAATTCTACATTTTTGTAAGTTCTATCATTATATTATCATCCTCATCTCCTCCCATGTTCTACTTTATCTTTACAATAGTCAATATTCTTAAATAATTTATATTTTTAATTATAATTTTTAGAATATATTTCAGAAATTAATCAAGTCTAATCTATTATTTGAAAAACTAATCAATTCTAATCAATAATTTAAAAAACTAATCGATTATAATTAATTATTTGAAAAAATTATCAAATATGATCGATCATTTTGAATATCTAATCGATCAGAATCAAAAAATCTTGTTGTATATGATAGCGGTTCCACTGGAACCGCTATTAAAGGGTACTTCTAATAGCGGTTAACCCTTAACCGCTATCTAAAATATACTTTAGATAGCGATTAACGTGGAACCGCTATTATAGATCATAATGAAAACTTACATTAACTATTTTTTTGAATATTATGTTTTTAAATTTGCTATTAGAGAAAACCTTTCAGAATTCAAAATGTTAAATACTTTTAAATATTAAAATTAACTTTATCAAAAATTAGGAAAAAAAATTAATCCAAAAGAGTTCAAAAATGTATTATAATATTGTCAATTTTGAGTTTAATTATATTGTTCATTCTCAAAGTAGAAAAATATATTGTAATTATTTTAATTTAATAAAATATAATTTAAATTTTTAATACTAAAATTAAAAGATTAAATAATAATAAATTTAATTCTTTAAATTCAAGTATTTAGAAACTAAAATTATAGTTTCTCTGTTTTAAATAATTAAAATAAATATTTAAACATAAAAATCAAAACTAGTATTATCTTAAATTTATTAAGAGTGTCATTAAATCTCTATTTTCTTAATTTTATTTGTTTCAAACTTCTCAATTCTACATTTTTGTAAGTTCTATCATTATATTATCATCCTCATCTCCTTCCATGTTCTACTTTATCTTTACAATAGTCAATATTCTTAAATAATTTATATTTTTAATTATAATTTTTTAGTATATATTTCAGAAATTAATCAATTCTAATCTATTATTTGAAAAACTAATCAATAATTTAGAAAACTAATCGATTATAATTAATTATTTGAAAAAATTATCAAATATGATCGATCATTTTGAAAATCTAATCGATCAGAATAAAAAAATCTGGTTATATATGATAGTGGTTCCACTTGGAACCGCTATTAAAAGGGCACTTCTAATAGCGGTTAACCCTTAACTGCTATCTAAAATATACTTTAGATAGCGATTAACGTGGAACCGCTATTACAGATCATAATGAAAACTTACATTAACTATTTTTTTGAATATTATGTTTTTAAATTTGCTATTAGAGAAAACCTTTCAGAATTCAAAATGTTAAATACTTTTAAATATTAAAATTAACTTTATCAAAAATTAGGAAAAAAAATAATCCAAAAGAGTTCAAAAATGTATTATAATATTGTCAATTTTGAGTTTAATTATATTGTTCATTCTCAAAGTAGAAAAATATATTGTAATTATTTTAATTTAATAAAATATAATTTAAATTTTTAATACTAAAATTAAAAGATTAAATAATAATAAATTTAATTCTTTAAATTCAGTATTTAGAAACTAAAATTATAGTTTCTCTGTTTTAAATAATTAAAATAAATATTTAAACATAAAAATCAAAACTAGTATTATCTTAAATTTATTAAGAGTGTCATTAAATCTCTATTTTCTTAATTTTATTTGTTTCAAACTTCTCAATTCTACATTTTTGTAAGTTCTATCATTATATTATCATCCTCATCTCCTTCCATGTTCTACTTTATCTTTACAATAGTCAATATTCTTAAATAATTTATATTTTTAATTATAATTTTTTAGTATATATTTTGAAATTAATCAATTCTAATCTATTATTTGAAAAACTAATCAATAATTTAGAAAACTAATCGATTATAATTAATTATTTGAAAAAATTATCAAATATGATCGATCATTTTGAAAATCTAATCGATCAGAATAAAAAAATCTGGTTGTATATAATAGCGGTTCCACTGAACCGCTTATTAAAAGGGCACTTCTAATAACGGTTCACCCTTAACCGCTATCTAAAATATACTTTAGATAGCGGTTAACGTGGAACCGCTATTATATCTTCTCAATTATGATCAATCATTTCTAATTATAATCGATATTGAAAAGAGTGCTAAAGTTTGCTTGATTGATTGCTCAAGGATGTGTAAAAACTGATGTTCAATGTGTGTTTAAAAAGTTCAAGCCAAACTGTTTTTATAGAAGATTTTCAAAACTGCTGGTTTAATCAATCTGTTAAAATAATCTTTTAATCTGTTAAAAGTGCAGTTTTAATCTGTTAAAACTTCTTTTAATCCATTAAAACGTTCTTGATTCTTTAACAGATTTGTTTTAACTGATACGACAACGTTTATATCAATTAAAACTCTTTACAAAAAATCTTCTAATTTGTTTTAATCGATTGTTTCGTGATTCAATCGATTGAAATACTGCAAAACTTTATTGTGAGTTTTTCCCAGTGATTTTAACTGATAAAAATAAGTTTTAATCGATTAAAACGCTGTGTAGAAATTTTCTAAGTTGTTTTAATCGATTGAAACGTGTTTTAATCGATTGAAAAAGTTCTGATCGGTCATAACTCAATTCTGGTCGATCATATCTGATTCTGATCGGTCATAATTGCATTCTGATCGATCATCCTGAACTCTAAGTGGTTTTAATCGATTAAAACCAAGTTGTATCGATTAAAATACTGCAAAAACACTTCTCTTAACATTTTAAGTGTTTTTAATCGGTTATTTCGAAGCTTTATTAGTTAAAACACCGATGTAAGGTTTTCAAAACTTTCTTTAATGAAAACAACCTAGTTATTTCGAAATTATATCAGCTTAAAAACTTGTTTAAGAAAGCTTTTGTTAAAATACTTTGTTTTTAACTCGCTTAAACGTATTTAGAGGCATTTTGCAAAATCTTTTAAGTGAAGAAACCTCATGCAGCAGAAAAGATAAAAATGATTATACCTAAGCATAGTCGAAGACACACTAATTCCTCTACTCTTTTATCAAAGTGATCGTTGACCGCTACAAAGTTGACTTTGACTTTATCTTTGACTTCATCAAATCAATAAGATCTTTGTCGAGTGTTTCAATAAGATCTTCATCACTTTCATACAATAATTAATATTCTTAAGTAATTTATATTTTTATTTATAATTTTTTAATATATTTGAGAAATTAATCAATTATAATCTATTATTTGAAAAACTAATCAATTCTAATCAATTATTTAGAAAACTAATCGGTTATTTGAAAAAATTATCCAATATGATAGGTTATTTGAAAATTTAATCGATCATAATGGTTGTATATGATAGCGGTTCCACTAGAACCGCTCTTAAAACAGAACATCTAATAGCGGTTAAACCTTAACCGCTATCTAAAATATAGTT